TAAACAGCAGATAGCAATCTTCAAAAAAACCCCATCTAAATAGCAAGATCTAAACACAAAATCTAGTAAAAAAAAGTGAAAGCAATCTTGTATGTAACCAGCGACCGACGAAAGCTGAGGAAAGCAAAAAAAGTGCAGCTCTAACGGGAGACAAACCTGTGGAAATGGCGACCGATGAAGCTGTGGAAAAGGGCGACCGACGAGTAGATGAGGAAACTGGCGACCGACAAAGCTGTGGAAACGGCGACCGAAGACACCGGCGCCGGAGAAGATGGAGGCGATAACCTTAAGGCAATGACTTGGGGAGAGGGTGCGGCTGTTCTCTAAAGGGTGTGGAAGGGTAAATAGGGAAGAAAGGGTAATCTGAATGGTTTAGTGAAGTCATACCCTCAAAATGGTTAAGAGGCTTGTGTAACCATTAAGAGGGTTTTTTTTTTGCCAAACACATTACACCTCTGACCGATTAAGAGGCTGCCACTTAATGTCACCATTAAGTGGCAAACAAACAGCCCCTAAGTCTAACTCTTCTCAAAATCCACCTCCAAGGGCTCTGCCCTTGGACCCTGCTAGGGGTACTGCCCCTAGAATCTCGCAAGGGGGCACGACCTCCTTGTCCCCGCTTCATGGCGATCTAAGGTGATAAAGACAACATCTGTAAGTCTACACTCTGCACCTCCCAACTCACTTATATTTCCCTTGTCATCTAATCGACCTCACATGAATCACAATTACACCAAAATCACCAACATAAAACACACATTCATACATGTACATAAAATATATGAAACTATATGAATTATACCCACATATTTTAATGAGTTGGATTGTTTTCACAAGTTTGAATTTAGTTATTTATGTATATATATATATATATATATAGAGAGAGAGAGAGAGAGAGAGAGAGAGAGAAATTTAAAGGAGAAGATGGTCAATTTGCAAGAAGTGTGAGAAGGGTTAAATAAAATGTAATATGATACAAACACATCATGTTGACTGGTCATTGCACAAGCGATTTTTCCCGCAACTTTGGTCGCATTGACCAAGTCGTATGCGTCCTTTTGGACGTGTCATATCACATATGATCTGATTCTTCTCGCAATTTTTCCAAATTGACCGGCTTCTCATATGATTTTCCATCTATATGTAGAGTCATATTCATGGGAAAACCTCAAAAAATCAAAAAATGATAAACACCCTGTCAACTATTCATCTACACGGTATACAAATATACCTAGAAATCAGGAATCATCTTCAAAAACTTGTATGCACGTTTATATATCGTACAAATGAATGATTATTAGAGTGTTCCTAAGTTTTTGTTTTTTATTTTTAGAGGTGTTCCCCATAACCTCACTCTCATATGTGATAAACTGTAATAAAAGTATGTTCTTACAATTTTATAAAATAGAGACGTTTTTGTTTTAACTCTTTATATATATATATATATATATATATATATATATATATATATATATATATATATTATGGGAAAGGTTCAAACGAGAACACCTTCATTTTACGAGAACGCGAAAACACCCTTTTACTATAGACAATCACATATGATGTTATTATTCCATCACATATGATACACATGTGATACTAAATCAAAGACACGAGCAATTTTCGATGCGATCTTGGTTGCAGGTCAAGTCGCATTTACACCATTAAGCTCCCTCACAAGTATTATCACATGTGATAAGAGTGTTGTTGATATGATACTATAATCCATCAAGACCATCACATGTGATACTAAATCATAGACGTAGACAATCTTTGGCGCAACCTAGGTCATAGAAGACGTCATCTGCACATCACAAGGCCCCTCACGCATATTATCACATGTGATAAAGGTGTTCTCGCGTTCTCGTAAAATGGAGGTGGTTTTAACCTCCACCTATATATATATATATATATATATATATATATATTCAACCATATTTGTTTGATGACTAATAATGATTTATTAATTTATATCCAATAACAAATTGTACAAATGAAAGAAAAGATAAGAAAAAAGAAAACATAACAACACATGATACAAACATTAAATGCGATCATTGAACAACTTAAACATACATATTAAACATGGAAATGACTCATCAGAAGTCCAATAGCCCCTAACTCATCATACACCAATTACGTATTCATTTGCTTGGCTTCAATGGTCATATCAGTATTAGCATCACCACCATCAACCACCACCACCACTGCCACCGACGCCATCTTCGTCACTGCCGCCACCGCCACCACCACCACCACCACCGTTGTCGATACCCTTAGATATCTAATGAATGTGTTTGGCCACCACCCCCACTACTAATTAGACTAGCGGTAATGAAGGTGGCATTACCCTCAATTAACTCTACAAAGCGTGCTTCAGTAGTTGTGCCTCCACCATTGTTGACAATTTCATCTATACTAACTAAAGTACTGGAATTACTCTCATCTCCAACATTAGTCTTATTGACGTCCATTGTTGTTGTAATTGAATCAATCTGCATCGTAACACACAAAAAACCGTCACAGATCTACAAATATATACGTTCATAAGGGTAGGTAGAGGGAGGATCAAACGAGAATGCTAACTATTTAATGCAAAATCACATGTGATTTTACATTAACAGCCAAAAAAGATGTGTGGGCGACTTTGGCCGCGTGTTCATGTCGCAGAGCAAAGACATGTGATTTTGTATGCGACGTTAGTGGAATATCACATATGATTCAACTGTTTTTTTATTCTTTTAAATAAGTACCGTTCTCGTTTTAACCTGACTCTATATATATGCATGAGCGTTCAAATAAAAATTTGCCTCATTTGTGTAAACCGTGTAAACCAATCTCATCCATCCATTTTCTTGATCAATGACCAAGATTAATTTACTTTATTTTAGGAAATTAAAAAAATATATATATTAAAATTTTATTTTATTTCAACAGTAAGGACAAAAATGATAAACAAAATTTAACATTTGGTAACATCATTCTCGATATTAATGACACTATTTTCATTTTTTAAAGCAATATATTATTTTTAACTTTAAATCACATCCATCAATAAAACATATAAAAAAATAACACACCATATTTAATTATATGGAGTGAATCATTTTAAATTTTGAATTACATTATATGAACGAAATTGGTTTCATCATTAAAATGTTTCGGTTCACATAATTTATTTGCAACAAGACCTGGTTTCATGTAAACCTGTTTCATTTTCCTTTTCATAATTTATTTTCAAAATGCACCGGTTTCATTTTCCTTTTCATCAACAAAATGGATCAACTACACCATCAATGCAACGGTTTCACCATAAAAATGTTTTGGTTCACCTAATTTATTTGCAACATGAACCGGTTTCATGTTCATGAAACCTGTTTCATTTTTCTTTTCATAATATTTTTCAAAATGCACCGGTTTCATTTTGCTTCTCATTAAAAAAAAAAGATTAACTACATGCAACAGGTTCACCATAAAAATGTTTCGGTTCACCTAATTTCTTTGCAACATGAACCGGTTTCACGTTCATGAAACCTGTTTCATTTTGTGGATTTTTTTGTTCATCTACGTTTTGATGATTTCATTCTATAATTCAATTGTTTCATCAAGACACGTTTCCTGATTATAACTCATGACAATATATGAAATCCAATTTTTAATATTTTAATATAATTAAATATTTAAATGTTACAATTTATACAATTTTCTTTATTCCGTTTCCTTAATTAAGATTTATTAATAACTTCTATATTTAATAAAAAATATTGTAAATGACCGAAATACCCTTATTGATTAAATTTAATTAGAAAAAAATGAATTTTTCTATTTGTCGAAATTGGTTTACACGGTTTCTTAGAAATGCACGGTTTTCATTTGAACGTACCCCTATATATATATATATATATATATATATATATATATATATATATATATATATATATATATATATATATATATATATATATATATATATATATATATAGACTTGGGATCATATGAGACCAATGTTTTTTCGTGAGACCCGTAAGACCAATTCTCAACTTTTGGATTAGATCTACATTCTTAATCACAAAATTGCCACGAGATTTCTCAATAATTACAAAATTTTCACCGTGCAACTTTAGACCATTAGATCATTAGCTTATAAAGTTGATCAATGAACATAAATTGGTCTCACGGGTCTCACGAAAACCCCCTGGTCTCATGTGAACCCAACCCTATATATATATATATATATATATATATATATATATAAAATATAGGATGGTGTGAAAAATTAAAATTTGATGAAAAACATAGAAAAGTTATAAATAAATGTAAGTTAAGATGAAATTTAACATGTGTTAATTAATGTGTATTAACATGTTAACTTATATAAATTTTCGCTAACAGGTAGAATTAATTTTCTATGTTTCTTACCAAAATTCGATCTCTATCACTTAAATCCAACCATATTAGGGGGGGGGGGGGGGGATAATGCGATAATTTAAACATTTTGTAAGAAGGCGAAACGTTCAATATCATATATGATTAAACGTTTATGTGTTGTTAATATAACATATGTTTAATCATATATGATTAAGTTTGTGTATCATGCATACAATCATATATGATATTGAAACTTCTTGTCTTCTCATAAAATATTTAACTTCTCCTCTAAACCAACCCATATATATATATACACACACAAACTCAACCCTATATATACACTCAACATAATATATCTTATTTTCTATTTCTTGCTTTTATTTTATGGATTTATGTGGTTTTGAGAGAGCGAAAGAGTCTTCTATTGGTTATTAGTTTTATGGAATATTTTGTCGTATTAGTAACGTTCAACACTTATTTTGTATTTAAATATATTTATCGGTTAATTATGAGTTAATTTTATAAATTTCAAACGTAGTAATAAGTTGTAAAAACATCTCTAACACGTATACTATATTTTCTCTTTTTAGAGGAGAGTTTAGCATAATTGTTGAAACAAACTTTTTCAAATCTTCAACAATTCTAGAATAACATAGTTGTTGAAGATGTTCTACATGATTTATAATATAGCGAAAATACTATATGAATATACTCGTGATTGAGATATTAAGATGCCATGTTAAAGAATTAAATATATAAATAGAGGGAAGATCAAAATGAGAAAGCTAACTATTTAAGAAAAATACGAAAACGGTCAAATCACATGTAAAATCACATGTGATTTATATTAACGGCAAAAAAAATGTGTGCAGGCAACTTTGGCCGCGTCTTCAGGTCGCGGGATAGACTCATGTGAATCACATGTGATTTTGTACATGATGAAAATCACATGTGATTCGACCGTCTTCTTATTCATTTAAATATGTATATTTCTCATTTGAACCCGACTCTCTCTCTCTCTCTCTCTCTATATATATATATATATATATATATATATATGTGTGTGTGTATGTATAGGCGAACAATCGTGTGAGAAGTAAAGTTAAGGTTAGAAACGTAAGAAAAGATCTGGACTTTTGATCACTTTTAATATTCTGTCCATCCATTAATTGCGCTTCTCGCGAATATTGATCCCGTACATCTCGTTGCATCTCATTCTAATATGTATCTAAGGGTATAGATCCCTTCTTACGCTTCTCAACTTAACTTTTCCTCTCACCAGAACGTAACCCCATATATGTGTCTGCGTGCGTGCGCGCACACATGTATGTGTATATGTGAACATATATAAAAATACTCATTTTTTTATATAATTAGTCAAATTAAAAAAATACTTAAAATACTTTAGATTTTTTTTCAATTAAATATAAATATATGGTTTTCCAAAACTTTATCTATTCATAAAAAGTGAATGAATTTTCAAAAACCATTCAAACTTCTATCATTATTGTTTACAAAATGTTAAAATAAATAATATAATAAATATTAAAAGATTGTATATGCATTATCAATTTGTACATAATGTATTAACACTTGTATTTTTTTTTAAATAAGAGCTTTCGAAAGGTAAACCTAAATGTTCTATAGTATAGTATATCTATATGTATGTATGTATATATATATAGAGAGAGAAATACTTAAACAAAAACAAAGTTAAAACATAAAAACATAAGAACACTTATATCACATGAGATTTACAATCAAATCATACGTGATTAAAGGCAGGATCAAACCGGAGGGTGTGTGCGATACCAAGGTCGCGTGACTTTCAGGTATATAATCACATATTTATGTTCTCGTGTTATCTTACTTAGAACCGATTCTCTTTTGAATCTTCCGAACACATGTGGATATATATATAAATATATATATATATATATATATATATATATATATATATAGGGTTAGGTACACGTGAGATCCATATGTTTTCGTAAGACCCATGAGATCACTTTTTTACACTTGAAACTTCAAAACAAAACGTTTTAAATGTAAAAAAAGCCGAACCTTCTCACAGCAAAAACATTGTGAAGGTTACCTTCACATCGTTATGCTGTGAAGTTTCAAGTATAAAAATGTGGTCGATCATGAAAACAAACCGGTCTCACGTGATCCCAAGTTTATATATATATACATACATATATATATATATTCACACACACACATATATACATATATATATATATATATATATATATATTCACACACCTGTAATCACCAAAGAATTAACTTGAAAGAAATATACTTACAGATGAAGAAAGAACCTCAACGAGTGGATCCACAGTAGATGATTCACCTACAGTGGGTAATGATTCATAAGTCGTCGGCAGCTCAAGCGGTGGTTGTTGTGGCGGTGGAGGGTTATCGGCCACCACCACTTCATCGTCGCTGGCAACATGATCATTTCCTCCTCCACTCTCTAACCCTAAACACCTAAGAACAGACCTGAAAGCATCCTGTATACAACCACCATTATAAACCCTTTGCTCTTCCATTGTTCTTATGATCAAACTTCCTTAAATAGATTTACAAGATCTCTCAAAGAAAGTGATGATGATATGCAATATGATCACTTCAAATCTGTTCTAGAATTCTTTCAAGACCATTTAGTTTAGGGGTTATGGTCATGTATTTAAAGCCATTGAAGGGATCAAGAGAGAGTGTGTGTGTGTGTGTTTTTTTTTAATATGTGGGTTGGTGGAGTTTAATTGCAAAGAGAACATGGAAAGTGTAAAAATAAATTATTAACCTGGATATTCAACCCATTATGCGAGCTGACTAATTCTATGGCGATCACATGCTTTACAGATAGCTCGGAGTCACCGCATTTGAACCTCCGTAGCCACTAGAGGATTTTTATTCTTCTTTGGATTTAAAACTGAGACCTCCTGATACTTTTGACCTTTAGAGCCAAGCTCAAACCAATCAGACACCACCCTTGTGGTTAAGTGTACAAATTTTTATGCATGATGTACACATCATTCTATTTGTTTTTTTGATTGAACAAATATCTGTAATTGAAATGTTACTTTTCATACTCACTTTTTAATTGATTCGAGTTTTTTCTAGTCTTACTTTTCGGTCTTCCAAACCCGTTTTTATTAAGAAAAAGAAATTCAAAACTTTTTTAGGTTTGTGTCGGGCAAAACCGGCTTTAGGTGTGAAAATAGGTCTCGTCAGACGTGTTCATGTCGGACAATTTCGGGTTTGTCCGTACTTTTTCGGGTCAGGCTTTTAGACTTTTTAAAAAAGTTATGTTCGATCGGCCTTTTTCGGGTTTGTCTAGGCTTTTTAGGGCCGAACTCGACTTTGGAATCAAGCTTTTTTTATATCTCTGCATTCAATATTCATATATTTGCATAAGTAACTTTTATCTATACTATATTATAAAGCATTTGACAAAAACTCATAAAAACCATTTTTTATGCATGAAGTACCGTATATTGATGGATATTACTTAAAATTCAAGATTACAAGTAAATTATGCACAAGTACAACTTATTAAAGCTCCATATTTGAATTCATGTAACTAACTGTGGATAAACATCTCATTTTAAAATATAAAAAATCTAAAATATAATTAGGATAATCATCGAGTTCTAAAAAAAATAATTAATTATTATCTTTATAAGAAAATTATATTATTAARCCAAATATAAATTACTTCGTTATTGAACATAAATTAAATTATAATAAAAAAATAAGAATTTTAAATAGTTTAATTTGATACTAATATCGATATGTTTTTCTCAAATTTTTATGATATCTTCAAATTTATACTTTATTCAAAAATAAAAACATTATCGCTTTTTCAAAATCACATAAGACTATATTATAACATCGACTAAAATAAAAAATAAAATATTAAAATCAAAATATATCTCGTTGCATTATATGAGTACCCTTCTAGTTGGTGTATCATAAAGATTTTAAATTTGATGATTTGTGGGTTTAGATCCTAATTTTAATAAGACATGTTAATGCATCAAACTGAAACTGTCAATTTAAATAAGTATTAAAGTTATTTGTAATTCATAACTTAAGATTTATAATGTATTTGTGATTAAAATGTTATACTCCTTACATCTTAAAGTAAATGTTCATAATTAAAAGGACACAGTTTTTAAAATGTACTATTTTTATACTTTTTAATCAACTTATCTATCCCGTTCAAAAATAAGTGTCTACAATAGAAAAGACATGCAGTTTAAATAATGCATAACTGTTACAGTTTTAAATAAAATAAATGGCAATTTTGTTCTTAATAACAATTTTTACCCATTTCATAATTATAGGTAATATGAAAAAGCTGACACCTTTTTTGGGTAACTATAAGTTTTTGGGCCAGCTTACGTATGCTGACTAATCTCTTCAGTAACCATGAATGACCTAACACAAGTTGACCACCATGACCATAAGAGCTTTGACGGAGACAAATTAAAATAGAAATGTAGACATTTATTCTTAAAAAAATATTTTTACCCTTGATAGTAAATAAAAAAAAATCAAAATCTCGTAATTAATGGTGAAAAAAATGGAAACAATATTTATTTTTAATTAATAAAAATAAAAATATGAATATTTATCTTAAAACCAAAAATATAACGAAACAAGAGTCTTCTTTTCCTTTAAAGCCACCTCGTGTCGTGGGTAATTCTTTAATAAATCTGAATCTATGAGAGTTGACCAGCCCACATGCAACTGCTTATTCCAATAATTAATTAATTAATATATATATATATATATATATATATATATATATATATATTTAAAATAAT